AGAGGGTGCTCTAGGTGTGCGTACCATGCTCCTCTTCTCAGGACCAGAGATGCAGTGACAACTGATTCCCACCAGAGGGTGCTCTAGGTGTGCGTACCATGCTTCTCTCCTCAGGACCAGATATGCAGTGACCACTGAGTCCCACCAGATGGTGCTCTAGGTATGCGCACCATGCTCCTCTTCTCAGGACCAGAGATGCAGTGACCACTGATTCCCACCAGAGGGTGCTCTAGGTGTGCGTACCACACTTCTCTCCTCAGGACCAGATATGCAGTGACCACTGAGTCCCACCAGATGGTGCTCTAGGTATGCGCACCATGCTCCTCTTCTCAGGACCAGAGATGCAGTGACCACTGATTCCCACCAGATGGTGCTCTAGGTGTGAGCACCATGCTCTTCTCAGTACTCGGGGTTCAGGTTCTCACCAGGTGGTGTTCTAGTGTGTGCACTGCCCTCCTCAAGACCCTGCGTCCTCCCACAAGCCCGGCCCCTAGACCCTCACTTCCACTCTTGCTCCACTCTTCTTGTGCTCTGACCTAGAGACCCAGGCACAAGCCTGGGTTCAAGCAGCGCCGACGAGGCCTGCCCTTCCTGCCACTGAGGCCTGCCATCCCGGCCGCCCATGCCTGCCCTCCCATCTGGGTCCTGCCCTGGGAGTTTCCTGCTCCTCTGCCTGCCTGCCACCCGCTGCCCGGCCTGGCCAGGCCTGAGCTCCACTTCCGGGACTCTGCTGCGAGGTGTGGAAATAGGAGAGGACAGGAGGGGAAAGAGGGAGGGAAAGGGAGGAAGAGGGAGAGGGAAGGAGAGGGCAGCCCAGACCAGGGAGCAAAACAAGGAAAGGCGAGCTGGGTTTCTGTGGATGTTTATTGATTATTGTTTATTGATTATTCCACTCTCCTGGTAGAAACCGGGAAAACATTTTTTCTCCACAAGTCTCCCTTAGACCTAGACCTGTAGAGCAATCCCGTTGGTGACGGATGAATTTAAATGAAAACATTCAGTCTTCTCCTGACTCCATTGACCAAGCTTTCCTTCAAAAATTTAAACCAGGCCGGGTGCCAGTGGCCCATGCCTGTAATCCTTGCTACTCAGGGGGCTGAGATCTGAGGATCGCGGTTCAAAGCCACCCTGGGCAGAAAAGTCCATGAGACTATCTCCAGTAAACTACCAGATAACTGGAAGTGGTGCTGTGGCTCAAGCGGTAAGAGTGTTAGCCTTGAGCTGAAGAGCACACAGACAGCGTCCAGGCCCAGAGTTAAGTCCCACAGCAGACAAAAAAAAAAAAAATTTAAACCAGGGAGGCAGCAAACGGCCATGGCGACTGGAGGCCAGGAATTCAGAGACACGTGCCATCTTCACAAAGCTTCCACCCAAGGTTGGTCTATGTGGACTTTCATGCTCCCTCATAAACTGCAAACACAAATGAAAAAAGAATAGTTTGTACTCTTCCTCTCCCTCCCTGCCTCCTTCCTTCACCCACTCTAACCTCATCCCTGCTTGCCCAAATAATACTCCGGAAACAGTAAGGAGATCTTAATGAAACTCATGCGAGAAAACACAGAGACAAAAACAAAAACCACTTAAGACAAAATGAGGCCAGAAAGGGGACTGTGCCTCAAGTAGTACAATTACATCCTAAGTTAAAAAGCTAAGGAACAGCACCAAAGCCCTAAATTCAATCCCTATAAACAGCACAAAAAAGGGAGGGGGGGTTAAAGAAAAAAACATGGATGCCTATTTCCACATTGTCCCACACGTGGTGTTTACATGTCACAGCTGGCATTTCCGATATAAAAAGCAGAAGGCACCCTAGGACCTGGGACGGCATCAAGAGCCCCAGTATGGCTCTGTATGGAAATTTTTCCACAGATATTCTCTTGCCTGCCTTCTCATTGAATCATTGGAGAACATTCTACATCGGTCATTTAGCACAGGGAAGAGCACAACTACTACAGAAATACCTAGAAGTGAAATGGCAGGGTCATAGTATAAGACATGTTTTGGTGAATTCTCCTACAGTGGCTTCCTAATTTTGTGTACCTCTACCCACAATGCATGCCAACAACTCTCTGAACTGAGAATGTGGAAATGAACTGAACACAAAACTCATTAATAAAGTACCAGGCCCAGCATGTGTGAGGCTCCTGGGTCCCATACCCAAATCTACAATGCAGTTCAGAATGTGGAAATGGTAGATGAACTCAGACCTACTGTGTATTTTCCTAACACCTAGCATAATTTACAGAGCTTCAACTATTAGTTACATTTTCTTTCCTTGTTGACATCTTTGGATTGTGTGCCTCTCAGATCCTTCAGTGGTCTATTCTTGATCTATTGAATCTCTTTTGTCTCTGGACAGTTTTGCAGCTTATCTTTGGAATCTTAGGGAGGTTTGTACTGATTTCCTTTGAAACATTTCAGTTTATCTGACTTTTCTTCGATGGCTTATGGATTTGTTACCCTCTATAGAACCTGTCCAGCCCAAACGTCACAGTGACCTTTGCTGACACCCTCTCCTTCACTTAGCCTCTGAGGCTCCAGTGCTCACTGCATGCTTGGGACACCCACTCCATATAGACAGCTCTCGTGTTGATCATGTGAGACCTGTGCTTATGTTGACCCAAAGGTTATGAGGAGTGTCTGATACTCGGATGTGCCTCGGGTATCATCTCAAGTCAGGAACATCAAAACCCCAGACTCTGGCTTAGTTCTACACTATTTGCCTAGGGCTCAGTGAGTACCAGTAGAGGCTAGATTCTCATGGATGCCCTTGTGCAAGTTTGCACTCCAGAGGGACAGTGTCTTCTCAGAGCCAGGCACTGTGAGCCTCCACCTCCATGTCTCCTGGGATCTGTGCATTCAGTTACCCTCCAACACCAGTGGTTTCATGCATGCCTTCATATACTCTAGCAGCAAGACCCTGCAATCAAGTTGATTCATACCCTGCCATGGGACCTACAGTGGTTGGTTGCAGCCTCTGTATACCCTCAAGATCATGAGTTCAAGGCCAAACAATGAAACCCTCTCCAAAAATAATACGTGCAAGATCATTAGCCATAAGGTAAATGCAAATGAAAGACACAAGACCACTTCAGAAGTGGCAGAAAGTAGGAGGTGGGGTCTACAAGGAGAAAGTAGGTCACTGGGTGCTGTTTCCTAAGACCCCAGACTGAGATGCTTCAATGGAGCAATTCTTCAAGGCACACAGGGAAATCATATATATCTAGTTTATTCCTAAACCCTGAAACTCAGATTCTATCTTGGCGGCACAAATGACTACAGAACAATTATGGAGAATGGACCGTATCAACCTCATATAGGAGAAAATAAATACAAACTTTATGCCTTACACAAAAATTCACTCAGCATAGTCCATACCAGGGTACAGTGGCTCAAATCTGTAACCCTAGCCGCCTGGAGTATAGGTAAGGGGATGATGGTTAAAGGCTACACTGGGCATAGAAGTTCACAATGCTTCATCTCAACTAACGGCTGGTGATGATGACTCACACCTGTTAACGTTGCCACAGGTTGAGCAAATGGTTGGAATAGTGTTATGTGCCTGTTGTCCTCAGCAACGTAACATAGGGAAGTACAGGTGGGAAGATCACAACCCAGGCAGGGTGTAAAGCAAGACCCTACCTTAAAAATAACAGGCACAGGGCTGGGAAGGTGGCTCAGGGGTAGAGCACTTGCCTTGCATGCCTGAGGCCCTGGGTTCCATTCCTCAGCACCACATAAGCAAAAAGAAAAAAGCCATAAATGGCGCTGTGGCTCAAGTGGTAGAGCGCTAGCCTTGAGCTGAAGAGCTGAGGGACAGCGCCCAGGCCCAGAGTTCAGGCCCCACAACTGGACCCAAAAATAAATAAATAAATAACAGGCACAAAGGGGGCTGGAGACACAGCTCAAGTGGTATAATACCTACTTAAGAAGAGTAAGGCTTCCAGGACCATAAATCCATAAACTTTTCATATGTAAGACTGTCAATATTACAAAAGACAAGCTTGTTTTTCTGTAAAACGGAGGATTCGTAAAGAAACAGTTGAGAAAAATTTGCTATGAAGATTGGATTTCTGCTGCCAGACAAGTCTGGACAGGACTCCTCCCTAGCATCTTCAAAGGGAGCACAAATCCCATGATACCTCAACTCTAGACCTCTGAACTTCCAAGCTAAGACAATTTTTTGTGTTGGAAAACTTGCTAGGACTGACCTGGGTAAATAATATAGGCATATTCCGCTAATCCACGACTCCACAAGCTATATCTAGCTGGCTCCCCAAGCCCAACCCACAAGATGGTAAGGGGAGAAACCCAGGCCATGATTACTGCTAGGAGGTCACTTTCAGGTCTGTCTGGAAGCTCTGGCCTCAGCTTTCAACCTTCTGGGGCCAGTGGGAAGATGAGAACAAGGATGGGCAACACTTGTGTTTCCATGGAGCTGGTCAACAAATCCTACACCTTCACACTGCTTAAAATCAGAAAGCCCAGGGTTAGACAAGGCCATCCCCTTCACATGGTCTCTAACCACAGCCAGACTTCCAGTTTGGAACAGCCAAGATGTCCCTCTAAACGGGATAGGGAAGGCACCTTACTAAGATTCAGAAAGAGGATGCCCTACCAGGTCAAGAAGTCTCATCGTTCCAAGATGTCCTTTAAAATGGGTAAGGTACATCAGGATGGACATCCATACCCCTCTTTTGGAAGGGGACAAATCCAGAAAATGGAGAGGTGAAGGTAAAACCTATTGTCAAGCTCTTGAGGGCAGAGGTCCTGTCCCACGGGGACAAAGTGGGACAAACAGGGCTCTGATCACTGCCTAGGTAGGTGTCACAGCTAAGCAGGTCATCCCACACAAGTGTCAGCTCCAAGCAGACTTGTCCACTTTCCCAAAGACAGACATGATACAGCTAGCTAAATCAGGTATTTAGAACTCACAGAGCCTATGACTTTGCCCAGAATATGAAGGGTAAAATTGTCTTGGAGATCCTCAAACAGCTTACTTGTCTGTGACCAACTCCATCACTGGCTTCCGAATTTCTGCATATCTAGGCCCTGTTGGACACAAGAAAGGCCATAGGCAACAGCAGGAAGATTTCCTGGCACAACTATAGTATGCATACTCATGGCAGCTGAAGGTACAGAAGTTGCTGCCACCACCCTAGAAGTCATGAAGGGGGGCAGCTAGGTGGGGATCTGAGGCCCAGTCTTCCTCCAGCAGGTAGATGGGTGGCTGTCCCCAACAAAGGCACTCAGTATACCCTCTGATGTGGCTCTAGGAGGATGAGTCCGTATTCTCCTCCCCTTCATGGACTCACTGGGCGGCAGGGGACCGGCGTGAGGGCCTTCAGACACTGCGTTCCAAGATTCTGTTCCTTTAGCTGCACCATTTTTAACCCACTCTCCAAAATTTCTTTTCTTCTTTGGTGCCAGTTCTGTTCAGGAGCATCACTCTACCACTTGAGCCACAGCTCCAGTTCTGGCTTTTTTTGGTAGTTTGGTGGAAATAAGAATCTCACAGACTTTGCTGCCTGGGTTAGCTTCAAACCACAATCCTCAGATCTCAGCCTCCTGGGTAGCTAGGGTTACCTGTGTGAGCCACTGGAGTGCAGCCAAAATTCCCTTTTCTATCACAGTCAAGATTCTCCATGTCCTGACCCCGCCTTCAGGTCTTCCATTAATGGCTCCACGTCGTACACGTACAACCAATGGAAAGGAAGGTCATGTGTCCCTCACAGACCAGCTTGGGAGTGTCTGAAAGGAAGACTGGGGTCTGATGTTGAGGTGCTTTGTTGAACATACCTAACCCACCCATGGCTCTCCTCTGCAATGGATAGCTAGGCAGATGGGCAGATGGCTGGTCACAGACACTCAGAATTACAGTCTACTCCTTAACTTTTACAACCACCAAGAAATTCAGCTTCTAGGAATTTAGCATGAAGAAATAACCAAGCAAAGAGCAAAGGGAAGAGAAAATGGATGCTTAGTCTGATGCTGTTTATGAAACAGACACTGGAAATCATCAATGACCATCACTAGAGTAGCGGAGAAATCAATCAACACAACCCCATAATGAAACACTAGCACAGGACTGAGAGTCTGGCATGAATTTACATGCTAGATTTGGACGGATGTCAAGATACATAATTAAGTGGAAAGTGGGACACATACAAAACACTGAACTTTAATATAGTTGAATAAAACAGTCCTTTTGCAGTCACAATGAAGTGCCACCTGGCACAGAAATCCACCCGAGCCCAACCTTCCAGGACAAGCTCCTGAAAACATTTTCCTCTCGGTACTCAAGGGAAATGCTCCTAAACACAGCAACACTAGAAGTCTCCCCATACCTTACAGTGATAACAGATGGATGGGGAAGGCCTTGTGCACAGACAAGTAGGAAGGGACATTCTATTCTCTGGAATCCTTGCTGACAGAACTTATCAGTAGCTTAAGTACGATTTATCACTTCACAAACAGAACAGACATTCCTTCAACTTGACCCCATGAATATGTGCCAGATGCTTCCTTCTATATAGACAATTACCAACTAAACTATTCAAAGGAGCCTTGCAGTTTCAGGGGAAAAAACCCTTCATGATCCATGAAGAACCTCTAATTTTATTCAGGAAAAAGCTCTGCAACTTGTGTTGAACAGCTGGGCAATCCACATCTCCTTCTCTGGCGCTGGCTTGGACCCCCAGGGCTGCCTTGGCAAAGGCTGCCCCCTGAAAACTCAAGGAGCATTCTGGCTCCCCAGACAGCATCACAAGAGACCTTGTTGCGAGACCACTGCACCTGAAAAACAACACAGCAGTACACGTGGAGATGTGTTCTGCCAGGCTCCAAGACTTGTCTTCCTACCCAGCTATCTTCTAACCCTGTCAAATCTACTCTCTGGCCTCAGGAGAACCCCTGCCCAGTCTGAGGCTACTTATGTCCCACCATGAGTCATATTTACTCCTCTCCACTGTTTCCTTCATTTAAAAAAGCACTAATTAAGCCCTCCTCAGCCATTAGCTGTGTAGCGGGGTTAGGAGAAAAACAAGCAGGTCTTACCTGGCTGGAGGGCAGGGGATGGCTCAGCTCCATGGTAGACACAGGCACAAACTCTGCAGAGCTAAGAAAGGTACAGGGTCAGAACAAGCTACGTATCAGGGGATGAATCCATACACAATTCTAATCTGCACATCAGGACAGGTTATGGCTCAAGGTGCCAAGACCCCCAAGTCATATACCTACAAATCATAAGCCAGTTGAGGGGTTCAATTCCAACGAACACTCTTTCTGTGTTGACGGTTAGCTAGGAGGGGAATGTGGTTCACAGCAGGAGATGGCAAAGAAGGGATGGGTCTGAGGTGAGAGTCTATCTGGACCGAGTCAGGGAAAACAGGAGGGACAGCAGAGACTAGACAGGCACAGTGGTCAATGCCAACACATACACACTATCACATGACCTGACCATTACACTCCTAGGAGTGCTCCAGGGGAAATGAAGGAGGCTAGCAAGAGGAACTCTGTGCAGGAACGTCCGTGAAGACCTTCTATGAGATTTCACCAAACCACAGACACGGAATGCCAGCAAGAGAACGCCCTACAAGGTCACCCACCCACACTGTGACTAAGTCTCAGCAATGAAGTGAATCATTGATATACTCAACAACAAAGGGAATCTCAAAAGTTACACGAAACAGAGCCAGAGAAAATGGAAGCAAAAGAAAAAACCTGAGTACTAAGTATAGGATTCTATCCACATAACGCTCTATACAATACAGTTTGTGTTTTTTGTGCCAGTCCTAGCATTTGAACCCAGGGATTGGGTGCTGTCCTTGAACTATTACCTTTTTTTTCCCTCGATGCTAGTGCTCCACAACTTGAGCCACGGTTCCACTTCTCTTTTTTGTGTGTGCATTAACTGGTCCTGGAGCTTCAATGCAGGGCCTGGGTACAGTCGCTGAGGCTTTTTTGCTCAAGGCTAACACTCTACCACTTTGACCCATGGCTCTACTTCCGGTTTTTAGGTGGTTAACTAGAGATGAGTCTTACAGACTTTCCTGCCAGCCTCCTGAATAGCAAGGATTACAGGCATTAGCCACTGGCACCCAGCTTCAGGTAATAATTTTGACAATACTAGTAACTGATCTAAAGGCCTCATCTTTTCTATACAGGTGCTTTACCACTTGAATCATGCCCCCAGTCCCACTACAACTAGTCTTCACTGACAGAAACAGATCTGTGGTTCTGTGGTGGCAGAGTCCTGTTGGGTGAAGGCAATAAGTACATTCACAATCTCCACCAGACTCTGTGGCTTCACAGTATACGTGAAAATCACACAGAGAAAACTGTGGCTTGTTCAAACTACACACTTGCAAGTAAGATGTTTGAAGAAGCATTCAACCAGCTACCAGTGGTTCATGCCTGTAATCCGAGGTATTCAGGAGGCTAAAGTCTGAGGACCACAGTTCAAAGCCAGACCAGGCAGGGAAGTCTAGAAGACTCATCTCCAATTAGACACCAGAAAGTTTTTAAGTGGAGCTGTGGCTCAGGTGGTTGAGCACCAGCCTTGAGAAAAAAAAACTCAGGGAAAGTGTTGAGGCAGGAGTTCAAACCTCAGGACTGGCACACACAAAAGCATTCACAGCCATCACATCAGGGGACTACAGGCAGGAGAAAATGTCAACGTAGCCATATGGATAAACCACAGTGGATACAGGAATCGGTAAAAAAGCATATACCCCATCTGACTGTGACTGTGAATGCAAAAGCGACTGAATCTGTGTGGTTTGGATTCTTTTACAACTCTGTTATCTCACAAGCAAAGCATTGATGTGGGGAATGTTTCTCCTATGTTACATACTCCTTTATGTTTCTTCCATTACTGGGCACCCACTTAATCATATGACCTTTAGTTCCCAAATTAAGAGGATCCCACATCCTGAGGTCATTGTCCTGCTGACTCCCTAGCATAAATAGGACGTGTGTCCTCTTCAAAAAAAAGACCATACCGAACCCTTAAATATGTTTTTTAATGTTTTTGTTTCTTTCATGCATGTGTTTCTAACGCATTTATAAGATTATTTCTTTGTTGCTTTGTATGTCCCTCCCCCACAGTGTAACCCCCGCTTTCACTGTATTTGATGTCAGTATAACATGTGGAGGAGATGGGGACAAACAAGTCGTTTAAGGATTCAGGTGGACCTGTTGCAACAATGAGAAGTACAAAATGTCATGTCAAAACCAGCTTTACAATGTCGGTGGGGGGGGGGAAGGATTGGGATTGGGGGGGAGGGGGGAGGCTGGGAAGGGAGGTGAAGGGTAAACAAAGGAGGAGGCTGCAATGCTTGGTAAGAAATGTACGCATTATCCTGCCCATGTAATTGTAACCCCTCTGTACAGTATGTTCTCAAATAAAATAAAATTAAATTAAAAAAAAAAAAAGACCATACCATCGTACTTTCCCATCCCTTTCTTCGACCTGCAGTCTCCTGGTCCTGTTCTGCAGCATGGGGGCCTCCATTGTCATCTCTCCACCCGAGGACCCTGAACCAACCATCCACCATCCACGGTCTCTGCATTCCCCCATGTGGTTTAGTCATCTCTGTATCTCTGAACATCCAAAATATCGACATTGTCACCTGGTCCACAGAACCTCTCCTGGGCTATTTGAACTCCTCCCAAGCCTCATCCAAACTACAATTTGGAAGATAATTCCATAGCCTGTGGGGAAGAAACACCAGAAATTGGCTAACAGGGCCCAAGGTAACATTGAGTGACTGAGCACAATCCAAAGGATGGGATGCTCACATCTGCTGTGATGTCTAGGCAAACCACTCTGCTTTAAGAAGAAGCAGGATGAAGGGACTGTTACCGTTTTTGAGGACCAGAAAGAAAAGGTCAGATCTGCATAGACCAAGGTGGTAAGTCTATAAATCAGCTCTACCCCACCTCATAGCCTGCAGAGAATGTCACTAGACCTCCAGCCTCACCTGGGGGAGATGAGACACTCACAGGCCTGCAGTGGAGGCTGTGTGGCCAGGAAGCGGCGCCCCTCTGCCTGCCCACCACTTGAACCAGGGCCTTCTTCTGAGTACATGACCTGGGGATTGTCACGATGTGTATCAGTAAATCCTGCAGGTAAAACACACACATACACACAACCTGCTGGGAAGGAGGAGCGTGACACGCATGGAACTATGGCCTCAAGTCAGTCCTCGGTCACTGTGCCTGGATCTAAATACTCCAGAGCAAAGAACTGTCGGAACGGCAACATTCACAACCTGTGAGTCTTCAGAGATCATATGAAAGTCAGGCAATGCTCATTTCAACCTGTTTTTGCAACTCCAGAACTCCTGACAGCCAGTGCCAGAGCCTACAACAGAGTCATTCAGGTCTGAGTAGGCACATGTGTAGGACAGAAGAGGCCTGTTTCTGTCTAAACTAAGTCCATGGGTGGCATGGACTTTAAAAAGCCTAGCCTCAAACAAAGAAACATAGACCATGTTGAGAGTCATGCTTTGCTCCCTTCTAGCCACCAGAATGACCACCTAACCTGGTAGATGGATGCGCAGGACCTTCTGATGTCAAAGGCCCCTTCCTGACTACCTGGTGTATGACTCTCCCTCTACTTCTGCTGATTCCTCATCCACACAAGACTTAAAGGGATTCTGAGTAGAGAAAACAAAGCTCTGGTATCAACGTGGACATTCAAGATCACAGGTAATAAAACAGTAAATCATAAATTCTCTCCTGGAGAAAAACAAAATCAGAAGCACCACATTCAATGTCTGCAGTTCTGCAGAGTGAAGAAAAATAGCCACATGGCAAATGCCTACAGAATCCATGAGACTCAGGATTTATGACAAGGAATATTACCAAAAAAAATCATAAGCTTAGACAACCTTCTTTTTTTCCCCAAATGTACTCTTTCTTTTTATGCCAGTGCCTGGGCTTAAATTCAGGGCCTGGGCATTGTCCCTGAGCTTCTTTTTTGCTCAAGGCTGGTGCTCTACCACTTGAGCACAGTACCACTTCTGACTTTTTCTGTTTATGAGGCACTAAAGAATCAAACCCAGAACTTCATGCATGCTAGGAAAGCATTCTACCACTAAGCCACATTCCCAACCCCACAACTTTCTCTTTAAACCAAAAAGCTTAACTGGAAAATGATCTAAAGAGACCCCTATCTAAGGCCATCAGTATGTTTTAGAACACCAGGTAAAAAAATAACCTCAAAACTCCAAGGTAATATATATAGGTTAGCTGGGTGCTGGTGGCTCAAGCCTGTCATCCTAGTTACTCACGAGGCTGAGATCTGAGGATCAGGGTTCAAAGCCAGCCTGGGCAGAAAAGCCCATGACGCTCTTATCTCCAATAAACCACCAGAAAACCAGAAGCAGTGCTGTGGCTCAAATGGTAGAGCACTCGCCTTGAGCTGAAGAGACAGTGCCCAAGCCCAGAGTTCAAGCCCCACCACCAACAACAACAAAAAAGAAACAGAGGTTATCTGCTCAATAATAAACATGTGATTCATCACTAAATGCTACAAAAAAATAACAATGTCTTCAAATTTCTGATTGATAAAATAATTTCATCTCAGAATTCTGTCCCTGCCAAATTGTTACTAAAAGGTAAGGGAAAATTAAAGACATTTTTAGAACACGAAAGGATTTAGAACCTTTATCTCACAAAAACCATCTTGCAAAGCTAACTGAAGGTGTTTTTTAACAAAATAAGAGAGTCAAGAGAGAAAAAACTGACAGTAATCTGGAAACAAACTCAGAGAGCAATTAAGGGGGCACTGAACATGATGGCTTTACCCCAGACCTAGGAAGCCATCATTTGCTTGTCAACAGGAGAAGGGGCTCCAGCTGTGAGTTTCAAATGGGATACTGAAAACACTAGAGGATATTACTGGAGCATAAGAGCAGATGGCATAAGAAAAAATAAAAGGCGACTGGGAAGGTGGCTCAGTGGTAGAGTGCTTGCCTTGCATGCATGAGGCCCTGGGTTCGATTCCTCAGCACCACATAAGCAAAAAGAAAAAAGCCAGAAGTGGCGCTGTGGCTCAAGTGGTAGAGCGCTAGCCTTGAGCTGAAGAGCTGAGGGACAGTGCCCAGGCCCAGAGTTCAGGCCCCACGACTGGGGGGCCTGAAAAAGAAAAAAGAAAAGGCAATTCACAACTCCAAGAAAACAAAAGCTGAGGGCTGGAAATGTGGCTTAGTGGTAGAGTATTTGCCGGCCTAGCATGCATGAAGCCCTGGGTTTAATTCCTCAGTACCACATAAACAGAAAAGGCTGGATGTGGAGCTGTGGTTCAAGTGGTAGAGTGCTAGCCTTGAGCAAAAGCAGCTCTGGGACAGTGCCCAAGTCCTAAGTTTAAACCTTGGACTGGCAAAAAAAAAAAAAAAAAAGTTGAAAAGTTATACCCACAGAATACTAAAAAATTCAGGTAAATCCACAGTGCCTTATAAGAGTCTGATGTATTGGAGAGGCACAAACAAATATATAAACAATATTTAAACTTTTAGTTACAAAGAAACTTCAGAAACAAACTAAAATAGGACATTTCATTCTGAGCTGAGGATAAAAGAGAAAGTGGTCTACGGAGCTTGCCCTCCTCGAGGCACAGGTGACACAGTACGGTAGCTTCAGCAGAGCCACAGAGAGGCAGCTGTTCCCTATCACTTCAACTCTTTTCTGTCTCATTTTTCATTTGTGTGTACTTTTTCTTCAAATTACACTTTAAAAAATCCAGATGTGTATTGGAAGAATCTGTCTTTCTTCTGCACTGGTTCTGGGTCTCATCAAACCACACAGATTCAAGCAAAAATTCATGGCCTTGCCTGATACTACCACAAAACACTGGAGTAGTTGTAGTGTAATGATGCTTAATCTCATAGTCTATGAAAACTACACCCACCTGCAGGGCAAGGATCACCAACAGACGCAATGGGCACGGACATGGTGGAACCTAGTAGGTGCATCCTGGAGTCCAGCCTGCAGCTATGGGCTTGCTGCCCAGGCTGGAAGCAGACTTCCTTGGAGGATGGCAGTGCAAAGGACATCATCCATGACTCAGAGGCAGCCATAGGAGGACCCGGCATGTTGCTGTCCACAGTCAGAGAGCCGAAGCTGGGGCTGAGGCCGACGGGACTGAGGGTGGCAGGGTCATGATCAGGCCCCGTCCGGTACCTTTCGCCTTCTTGGAGAGATCTGAGGTATGTGGAAAACAATGTCCTATGGCAGGCAGAAACAACAAACTCGGGGGTTTTGAGTTCCCCTCCTGATTCAGCCACTGAAGACTGTGGCACCCAGAATGTCACTCATCATGCTGCCCGGACCCTTCCCCCTGAGGTTGGTGCAAAGACTGACCATTGATAGCTATGGACCCTGGAGACTTACTAAAGCCATTTACTTGAAGCCTACAATACCTCAGCCCTTTATCCACAATGACTGCCCAAAAAATGTTAAAAACTGAAAGTGATTAGCAAGACACATTAATCATGTATAAACAATGGTTAACTTTAAAGTACTATTAGGCAGTAACTGATTAATAGGTTAAGGAATTAGCATTCCACAAATGTTCATGATGTGCTTCAGCTGTCAAATGTCAGATGTGCTTCTAGGATTTTGTTAAACCTTCCCTCAACCTTCCCAGCAGCATGCATGGCCTATCATCAACCCCTATCATCAACCCCATTTCACAGGTCAGAGGTCACAGGAACTTGCCTGGTGCCATACACCTGGATGGTACCAGACCCGCGTTATGAGCCAGACATGCCAACACCAAGAGATGCTGTGTCATGAGCCTGTGCAGAAAAGGAAGGGGGTGAAGTGGGCACAGAGGATGAGCAGACAACTGTGAGCTGGACCGACCCCAACACTAGGCCTGAGGTGACTGGCACTGGACCGGGCACACTTCCTGTCCTGCCATCACTATCAGGTTGACCCCTCCTCACAAGTGAGCACAGAGAACAAGGAGAGGCTTGGACAACAATGACACACAAGGATTTGAGAGGCACCCAATGCGGCAACTCCACAAGATACAAACCTGGCAAAACACTACCCAATGATATTGGATTTGTCTTTAGATGGTAAGTCTGGACTGAATATTTTTCCATTTTTTTCTAAGTATTTTATGTCATTAAAAAAATTACACATGAGGTCAGGCCAGATTTTAGTCAGATTTCAGGGACAAAGCATAAGGTCATATGGTAGTTTCCCTTCTAGGACCTTGATGTGGGCTCCTTGGTTTCCCTGCTCTGTCACTGACAGGTGTCCTAGCGTTAGGACCTAGCATACGCAGGCCCACTCAACACTCTGTCTCCACCCAAGGAAGTGGAGGCTAAGCAGGTAAGACGGTCCTCTGGTCTAAATGTAAGGCCATACCTGGCAGCCAGTGGCTTTGAGATTGAGTTGACTCCAGGAAAGCCCAGGGCAAGGGACAGTGGACGCCACGAAGCTTGAGTAGGAGACCGTAGATTCCTACCTTCCTCACGTCCTGCTGAAAGCAGATCAGAGAAGAAAGAGCACATGAGGCTGCGTGTTCCGTTCCCCTGCCCAACAACTAAGTGCAGCCCTGCTGGTTAGAAATAGACATGGTCTCACGTCATCCCAACATTGTTCTCTGTCCCTTGGGTCAGACTCTGGTCTGCACCAACAGTCCAGTATTACAATCCTGGAGCTTGGCTCACTTCTCAGATCTATTCACTATCCCTTTCCTTCTGTCCACATGATGCCTCACTTCCAGAATGGCACCCAAACATATGATAACCTGAAATACAAGGGAACTACTGGCCCATCATGGCCACTCCTCTGCCAGTCGGATCCTGTCATAAATCAGCCCCAAGTACAAGGAGGCCAGATGTCCTGGCAGCTTACCTGACCACTGAGGCCTGCCCACCAATTCTGAGTCACCACAGGGATTGCATGAGGGCTGCAGGAGGGTAGGGTCCCACTCCTTTGTGCTGCGAACTTCTGAAATGGCCTGCTGGGCTGGATCCACGCGCTGGAGAAGGTATCTTTGGCGTCGCCGGTAGTTGGCAAACCAGTTGTGTACTTGCTTAGCTGTCAAGCCTGTCTCCAAAGCCAAAGTCTCCTGCACCAAAACAAGAAGACTTCTGACCCCAAGTTACAGGGGATAATTTGCACACAGGTGGCTGAAACTGCTCAGATGCACCAAAAAAAAAAAAAAAGTGAATATGATTCCAGGTTGTCCTGTGCAAGGAGGGCAGACATGGCCATCCATGCATTAGTACACTGGAGAAAGGATTGTCTCCTGAGCATGTCCTAAGGCAGAGAAAGCAGGGTCTCCATGAACAGGACACACAGGCCTTACCTCCCAGGTTGATCCCAACCCTGAAGTGCTAAAGCCCGAGCATTCCATTCCCTAAGCCAGGAAAAGGGCCAGGCTGAAGACATTCTAACCCCTGGAGGGGCCAGGCCTACATTGCTCCTCATCAGAGATCTTCTTTCCTACAGTGCTCACTGGCTAAGAATTCCAGGTCAAAGAACTAAGGGCCTCTATAGATTTCAGGGTGAGAAATGGACGATTTTCACATGAGAAGAAAACAAACCTTAGAGAGCAAAATTCAAACAGCACCAGCCCCCCGGGAGGCACACCAACAAAAGGTGTGTGTGGGAGAAAGCAGAAAGAGAAATGTGAGAAAGGTACAGGAGCCCCAGGAGAAAGGCAGAGCCAACTAGAGGAAGAAGGAGCCATAGAGGGGGAGGACATGAGGAAAGCCAGTTGTTCTTACCCGCTCTGCCTTGCTGGGGTTGGTGCTCACACCTGAGGCAAAGTCCTTCAGAGTCTGACGAATTTCTTGAGGAAAGTTCCGGCTCTTGGTGCTCTTGGGGCAGAGGGTAGGGGGTGGTGGGTTCCTGGGGGAAGGGGGATAGTGGAGGAAGCTCTAAAGAACAGAAGCATCTGCGCTCTGATTAGGACCTGGTCTTCTGAGGAAGGTGATGAGCATGTCCTTCTGTCCCACAAGCCTCTTCCTAGTGGTCCCTTTCTCTGTCTCCACTTTGTGAGACCCACAGCCTCTCTCACAGGAACGTAACATCCCCATACATACAGTCCTGACCACAGGACTGTAGCAATCTGCCTGGGAATCCTGTCTCTGGGCCCTAATGATGCTGACAAACATCTCGGCCACCTTGGTCCCTCCTGGTTTGCAACTCCTGCATGCTCTGCATCTGCCTCCTCATGACCCAGTCTCTTCATCATGGCTCTCCTGGTCACAGTCCTCTGTTCTACAGATGGCACAGCCCTTTCCTCTCCTCTTAGCTCCAAAAATCCCACCCTTACCCATGGTGACTTTCTTTGTTCCTGTTTCCAGGGATGTCCCCTGCTGGTCCACCACACTCCCCGATCACGTTTATATCCATAAATGGTCATAATGGGGATGAATATTAACACAATGTCTAATTACAGATGATCATGTTCGCAGTGTTAATCATTAAGATATTCGGCACCTATCCTTTGCCAGGCATGTGGCTAAACAAGGGACACATAACTCTCCTGAACTGTCAATGTTCTCACCCCGCTCTTTAAAGGGTCCAGCAGCCACAAGGGCAATCTGGAGCAGAGACATGGGAATTCGCTGATGACCTCAGACATGTGACGCAGCTCCCACTCGCCCTCCAAGTCAATCAACCATGTCCATGTGCTCCTTGCCCAGCCAGTCCAGTGGGATGCCCACCAATGCGCTCTGCCTCAGTCTCCCTGCAGAGGCGCCTCTTTTTCCAGCTACCACCTAACAGAAGTGGCAGGAAGAGTGCAGTGTAATGATGGAAGCATAGTAGGACCTACTGCTCATTAACAGTGTGACAATCTGCTTATTGAGACCTCCTCCCACTGTCCCCTCATTTCAGGGTTTGGATGGGAAATCTACTTCTCAGGGGCCCAGGGAACCAGCAGAGAAAGTTTTTCTGTGGAATACAATGAAGAGGTACCTCTTTCTGCATCGGAACTTCTGCACAGGGCTCAGGCTGGCTACGTCTAGCCTCCTCATGGCCAGGCAGTAGTGGATGTCATTCCAGAGCTGCACCAGCTCCTGACTGCCGCCTGAAACCCGGCACTCCTGTGGGAAGAGCTTGCTGAGTGCTAATTACCCTTGCCTACCCTGGAGCATGTAGAGACCTCTATCTACCCACACCAACCCACCTTGAGTAGAGTAGTGGGAAGACCAGATACCTGAGTTCAAACACATTTCTCCACAATGTGCCATTGTACTCAAGTAGTAAAGATACGTTGATTCCCCACCAGACCTTAGACCAGCCAGTTACCACAGAAGCTGTGTCAGACACTTCATGTCAGTCATGAATAGACAAGTCCTCACACACACATGCATATAAAGCATTCAAAGAAGCAGAGCACCGGTGGCTCACGCCTGTAATCCTAGCTACTCAGGAGGCTGAGATCTGAGGATAGCGGTTCAAAGCCAGCCTGGGCAGGAAACTCTGTGAGACTCTTATCTCCAATAAACCACTAGAAATGAAAGTGGTGCTGTGGCTCAAACAGTAGACCACTTGCCTTGAGCTGAAGAGCTGAGGGACAGCGCTCAAGCCCAGAGTTCAAGCCCCATGACGGGGACACGGACACACACACACATTCAAAGAAACAGATAATCCAAGTCTCAGCTTCACCTTACAGGTGGGAAATTGAGGCGCAGAAAAATCCCATGATTTACCTCTAGCCATACAGCAAGAGAAAGAACAATGGTCGAAGCAATGGGGACCGATTCAACACGCCAAGGTTTGACTAACATCACAGCTGGCTATTACATGAGCTGTCCTAACTAAACTAGCAGCAGTGGAGTCTGCCGGTTTCTCTATCCCCTTCTGCAACCCCTCCCATCCCGTCCTACCTCCAGAAGCTGGCAGGCTGCCTGCAGCTGCTCCTGCTGGACCAAGACACGGGCACAAACCAGGACCACGGCCTCATTGTCCAGAAGGTGCAGACGAAGTTGGCTGGCGAGAACAGCTGCCACCAGAGGTCGCAGCTGAGTGGGGTCATCCCGAAGGTCCCAGCACAGCTTTGCCGCAAGGGTTACCAGCTCCGGTGGGGGCGGACAGGAAGCCCCGTGCTTCCTCAGCAGCCTCAGGAAGTTCTGCATCCGGTACCAGGCAGCCGCTCTGCCAACACACAGCAAGCAGACGGCGCTAGCACAGACCCGTGTCCTGGCACTGGTCCTCGGGGCAGCGCCAGGAGACAGGTAACGCCTGACCGTCAACCCAGGGACACTCGAAGGTAACAGGAGCTGGCCGGGTACGAGGCGGGGTGGTCGGATGTGCCCCCCGATTTCACCCCGGCCCTGCTCCGAACAGCTGGCCGCGCAGAGGCCCGCCCGGGTGCTGCCTGCTTTCAGGCCTCTCCTCTGCCCTCGGCCCTGCTCGCTCCTCCCGTCTCTGGACCCTTCCCCTCCTCTGGGTTCTGTTTGGAACCCAGGGGACACATGCACTCTTAGGTGGCTGCAACCTCTTCATCCCCTTCACGGTAAACGTCTTTAGGAATCGGAACTCGCAGGCCAGGCAAAGGCCTGCTGAGCAGCGCCCGCCCGTCCACCGGCCGCACACGCCCCTCGGCGGCCCCGCCGTCCCGCCGGCCGGCTCCGCGGGCGAGGCCGGGCCGCGGGCACTCCGCGACGGAGCCGGCGGCGTGCTGCTGCGGCCGCGCACGCGGCGCTCGGGGCCGGCGCCGGCCTCCTCCGAGCCCCTTCGGGGCCTGAGCTCTGGAGAGAGGCCGGACACCCACTCCGCAGGCGGCGGGCCCGGCCGGCGCGCTCCGGCAGCGGCTCTGCCCGCAGCGGCTCTGCCCGCAGCGCTCTGCCTACCCGTCCGCCCCGCGGTCCGCCCCGCGCCCCGCGCCCCGCGCCGGCCGGGACGGGCAGGGCCTCCGCCGACCCCTGACGGGGAAGGGGCCCTCTGAGGACCCACACGTCCTCCAGCGACGCGCCACCGGATCCGGTCGGGGCGCGGTGGGAACCCCGCGGAAGGATGGGCTGGGGCCGCGGCCCGAGCCTGCGAGGCCCCGCGGGGCTGCTCGCGCGCCGCCCGTACCTGTCGGTGTGCGGCTCCGACGTTCGCCGAGATCCCGACGCCAGCTCAGGTAAGCTCAGTTCTCAGCCGGCGCCACGCGCCACACCACTAGCGTCCGCGAGGCCCCGCCCCGCGAGGCCCCGCCCCGCGAGGCCCCGCCCCGCGAGGCCCCGCCCCGCGAGGCCCCGCCCCGCGAGGCCCCGCCCCGCGAGGCCCCGCCCCGCGAGGCCCCGCCCCGCGAGGCCCCGCCCCGCGAGGCCCCGCCCCGCGAGGCCCCGCCCCGCGAGGCCCCGCCCCGCGAGGCCCCGCCCCGCGAGGCCCCGCCCCGCGCCCCGCGAGGCCCCGCCCCGCGAGGCCCCGCCCCGCGCCCCGCGAGGCCCCGCCCCGCGCCCCGCGAGGCCCCGCCCCGCGCCCCGCGAGGCCCCGCCCCGCGCCCCGCGAGGCCCCGCCCCGCGCCCCGCGAGGCCCCGCCCCGCGCCCCGCGAGGCCCCGCCCCGCGCCCCGCGAGGCCCCGCCCCGCGCCCCGCGAGGCCCCGCCCCGCGCCCCGCGAGGCCCCGCGCTGGCCAGCTCCCTTCCGGCGGATGCCCGCGGGCGCCCCCAGCCTGCTCGGGACGGCTACAAAGTATCCACCCGGCGGGGTCCGGCGGAACGCCGGGCCGGGGGCCACGACCCCACCGCGCCATCGAAACCCCTGCGGGAGGAGAGCGCCCGGCCCCAAGACCCTGAGCGCGGGCCGCCTAGGCGGGCTCCGAGGCCGGGCTGCCTGCCCGGCAAGCGGCAGCTCTGAGGCTTCGGCCGTCTGAAGCGCTGAGGGCAACGCGGCCTCGAGCTCCTCGGTGGCCAGAGCCCTGGAAACCTCCCAGCCTGCGCCGCCCTAACCCAGCCACGAGTCGGAGGGCAGCACGGTCCTCACCCTCCTCCGGGTAACCGGAGTCCCGACCCCACCTCCGGGTAACCGGGAGTCCCAGGCCCTCCTCCGGGTAACCGGGAGTCCCAGGCCCTCCTCCGGGTAACCGGGAGTCCCAGGCCCACCTCCGGGTAACCGGAGTCCGGACCCCACCTCCGGGCGACCGGAGTCCCAGGCCCACCTCCGGGCGACCGGAGTCCCAGGCCCACCTCCGGGCGACCGGAGTCCCAGGCCCACCTCCGGGCAACCGGAGTCCCAGGCCCACCTCCGGGTAACCGGAGTCCCAGGCCCACCTCCGGGTAACCGGAGTCCCGACCCCACCTCCGGGCGACCGGAGTCCCAGGCCCACCTCCGGGTAACCGGAGTCCCGACCCCACCTCCGGGTAACCGGGAGTCCCAGGCCCACCTCCGGGTGACCGGAGTCCCAGGCCCACCTCCGGGTAACCGGAGTCCCGACCCCACCTCCGGGCGACCGGAGTCCCAGGCCCACCTCCGGGTAACCGGAGTCCCGACCCCACCTCCGGGTGACCGGAGTCCCAGGCCCACCTCCGGGTAACCGGAGTCCGGACCCCACCTCCGGGTAACCGGGAGTCCCAGGCCCACCTCCGGGTAACCGGAGTCCGGACCCCACCTCCGGGCGACCGGGACTCAAGTGGAGCTCCGCGGTGAGTGGCAGGCCAGCGACAGCGCCCAAGCCCGCGTTCAACACGGGGCCGGCAGGGACCCGGCCGTTCCTCTGGCGTCGCTGTGCGAGTTGAAGCGTCGAGAGGACCCGGAGCTTAGAGCTCGACACGGCCCCGAACTGGCACCGCTGATCCCCGTGAACGTGGCCACACGCTTCGGCCTCACGGACCAACACCCCCGGCGCGCATGCGCGCGAGCACGCACTGCGAGCGCCCTTCCAGCGAAGGAAGGGAGCCGAGGGCCGCCGCTCCCCAAACGCGGCCCTGGGGAAGGAGCCTTGGTGGACACCGCTGGAAGTGGCTAGGGCTGGAGCGCTGCCTTGCGGGCATGAGGCGCTGGGTTCGATTCCTCAGCACCACAACAGCAGGAAAAGCTGGAAGTGGCGCTGCGGCTCAGTGGTGGAGCGCTCGCCTTGAGCTGAAGAGCTGAGGGACAGCGCCCAGGCCCGGAGTTCATATTTAAAAAAGACAACATAGTCCAAGCATGTGTTGGGAGATACACATTTATAAATACACCCAGTTCCAATAGGGTTGTGGTTGTTACCATGAGAGCGCACCCAAAAAAGTCGGCTTAAACAGCACTGGGGATGGACGGCAGCACCTCAGCTGTCAACAGCAAGGGCCCGCTCACCGGCTCTGCTGCGCGTCCCAGCCGATGGACTGTGTTGCGGTGGAAGGGGCAAGGCTAAAAGGCACAAGGTACTCTCTCCACTTGTCTGCTGCTTTTTCATTCATCAGAACTTGGTAGTATCACTGATGGCTGGTGTGGGTTTGTGAAGATTCCCTTCAGAGTTAGCAATCCTCAGGTCCTTAACTTCAATCACAAAAGAATTGCACTAATAAGCACTTTGTGTACCCAGGCAGAGTAATTAGTTGGACAAGTGTCAAGGTTAGGAGAGGGCTGCTTTTCATTTTTCCTTTTTGTTGTTTTTTGCCAGTCATGAGGCCTGAACTCTGGGTCTGGGCGCTGTCCCTCAGCTCTTCAGCTCAAGGCTAGCGCTCTACCACTGGAGCCACAGCGCCACTTCTGGCTTTTTCTGTTTATGTGGTGCTGAGGAATCGAACCCAGGGCCTCATGCTTGCAAGGCATGCACTCTACCACTGAGCCATCTTCCCAGCCCTCATTTTTCCTTTTTGTAAATGTTGTAGCTTACTGAGGTAGTGTAAAGCTTAATCTATACAGTGCCTGTATATTTTACTGAATCTATTCATTACTACAATACTTACCTGTAAATTATTGGCTATTTCCCATGCCTTATTTTCCCTGATCTATCCTGCTTCAATAACACAAAAATATATTTCAAGGAAAGTAGAGAAATGCTGAATTAAGAACACAGACCCTTTGAATACAGTGATTCTGTGTGTAATGAAGGGATACTGAGCTATTAAGTAGCCTAATGCTATCATGCTTTTTGTTGTCAGATGTACCTTGTTTGCTATAATTTTGGGGGCTGTATTCATTGTTCAGTGCTGGGGATCAAACCTAGGGCCTTGTGTATGTGGGACAAGCTCTCTAAACACTGAGCTATATCATTCTCAATCCTAAAGTGTAGGGCTGGGAAAGTGGCTCAGTGGTAGAGCACTTGCCTTGCATGCCTGAGGCCCTGGGTTCGATTCCTCAGCACCACATAAGAAAAAAGCAGGAAGTGGCGCTGTGGCTCAAGTGGTAGAGTGCTAGCTTTGAGCTGAAGAGCTGAGGGACAGCGCCCAGGCCCTGAGTTCAGGCCCCATGACCAGACCCCCTCCCTCCAAAAAAGTATATTTCACAAATATAACCTTCATATCTTTTCCTTTTCTAGTGCTGGAAAAGGAGAACGGGACTAGAAAGTCTTACAAGCCAATGATAAAAGTTTATTGATTTAAATGGTTGTATAATGACTCCTATATTTACCTATTTCTCACTTAACATTAAGCACTAATCTAGCACTTTTCTCTCACACGCAGTATTTGACTTCTATCTTTAAAATTATATTAGCACTCTGGCTTCTACTAGATAAGGTTGCCTGTGCATTGCATTAGATGACATAGCAAACTAAAACCTACCTAACCTAGGGTAGTATTAAACAAAGATTTGTTTCTAACACTTTTATAAGATTATTTCTTTGTTGCTTTGTATGTCCCTCCCCCATGGTATAACCCCTGCTTTCACTGTATTGAAGTTGTATAATTTGTGGAGAAGGAAAAAAACAAATCATTTAAATAGTGATACAGGTGGATCCACTGCAACAATGACATGTACTAGTCCTTATGTGGAAAAACGAACTTTAAAACTTTGGTGGGGGGGGGAAGGATTGGGTGGGGGGTGGGGGAAGGATGGGAAGGGATGGGAAGGGGAAACAAAGGAGGAGGCTACAATGCTTGATAAGAAATGTACTCATTATCTTGCCCATGTAATTGTAACCCCTCTGTACAGTATTTTCACAATGAAAAAAAGATGACAGAGCAATGAGATATGCAAAAAAAATTAAAAATAAAGATTTGTGTCTT